CTGAATTAGGAATCAAGGCAATCAAAGTGTGATTTAAAGCAGGAAGGGCTCTCAAAATCATCCTGACTGATATGGATATTGGCAATCTAATGCAGAATGCTATCAAGAAGAAGATGAGCAAAAGAATCCCAACTTCACCTCCCCTCATTATCCTTAAATTCTGAGATAGGCTTTGAAAGACTTTGTCTATTTCAGCATATGGTGCATTTTTTAATGGTCCAATATCGCTAACCCAATAATTAGACCAAAATCTGATGCACTTATCATTGCCTGGCTTTCACTTCACATGCATCATTGTGTCTTGCCAAATTTTTGCAATATTTGTAAGAAAATGAGAGCATTTATTTCTGTTTACATCCTGTAAGACGTTGTCCTAGAGTTGATAGGCTTTGGAAACACTATTGTATGAATGGGAGTACACTTTACGCGCCCCTATAAGATTATATTTGAATTTGGTGCCAGACTTCATGCACATGTATCCTGGCAAGAATGACACTTTGTTAAAAAAAGTATTTTTTAGGGATTGATAGTAAAAAATATCCTTAATAAATTAATCCTTTTATATGTATTTTTAAGTAAAATACTTTATTAAATAAGAATAAATACAGAAAGATAATTTTAATTGGAAGACAGTTAACTAATTTGCTAGGGATGATATTCGATTAGAAATACCTCACATATTTTAACAGAGTAAGTCGGTTTAAGAGACTAAATCAATGATAGTTATGTTTGTGAGAAATTTTTTTAATAAATACGTTAAAAATATCAATTTAAATAATTACAAAATCAAGAACTTCAATTACAAATAAAAAAAATTTTATATTATAACTGGAATTGCTATATGCTCTTTCTAGTTCTTATTATAAAGTACCTCTGATTACTTCACAAAAATCAATGAAAGGTGATCAAGTTATTAATTTTGTGTGAAAATAAAATAAACTTTCAATTTTTACCATTGTTTAAACAAGAAATTATTATTTTTGAATGAAAAGACATGATCAAGATCGTGCTAGGGTTACAAAAGTCAGGACACATTGGAGTCCAAGATGTTCTTACATCTTATAGGCGGAATGCTATAAATAGAGAGGTCGTAGTTGTCATGTGAAGTTTTTTGTGTAAGCAAATCAGCACATTTTTTTTGCTTCTCTGTAGACATGATCAAAAGTGACTGTCTAATTTTTCATAGTAAGCTCCCTTATTTTCTTGATGGTTTCTGCTAAAAGATGGCTTTCGGAGAAGTTATGTTGAATAAGAGAGAGGGCTTCCATAAAATCAATGTGTAAATTAATCTTGGTAAGATTAGCATTCCAACCAAGCTGGAGATATTCTAAAATGCCTGATAATTCAGCTGCAGTACAGGGTTGATAGCTAAGAAATTTTGAGAAACAGATAATCTAATTTCCTTTTTCATCACGGATGACTCCACCATAAGTTACAGCGCCAAGAGAGTTAATTGAGTCGTCTGTATCGAGTCTAACCCATCCTTCCTTCGAAAAATTCCATTTAGCCTTGGATTTGAGTCTATCGTTATTTAAAATATCCACTCTTGATAGAAGTCACATGTCATTGATGATTTTTTGGGTACAAGAGAAGGCGATATCTTTGTCTTGATTGTCATTTTCAAAATAAATTCTCTTGCATCTCGCTTTCCATATGTTCCAACAGATGTAAGCAAAGAGCTTCTGCCAATTAATTTTTCTTGTGATGGTATTCCCTACTTTGTTTCTTGGATTTCAAGTTATCCAATCCTTCACATTAAGAGAGAAAAAATTATTTAGCTTGGAAGGATTGACTAGCTTTAGCCAAACCTCCCGCACTTCCTTGCAATCTCATAAGATGTGAATTGAAGAGTCAAAAGAGTTACAACTGAAGATGTAGTTTCGGTGTATTGGGTTGTGTCCTTCATCTGTTATAAAATTGCTCTGTAGGCGATCCCAAGTTGCTTTCCAAAGAAAACACTTAATTTTTTCATATGTAGACCACTTTTAGATTTTGGACCAAATATCATAATTTTTTGTTCGTTTTGGCATTCCAGCTTTATGTAAGCGGATTTTATAGAGAAATTTCTATCAGAGGAAGGTCTCCAACAAAGGACATCGTCATCACCATGAGAGTTAAGAGATTGCACAAGAGCAATTTGTTTAATCACGTCAGGGTGAAGATGATGATTAAGAAGGTTGAAATTTCATCTTCCTACAAGTGTGCATAAATCAAAGATTTTGGTATGAAGAATAGATTCAGCACTAGGGAGGGTATATTTAACAAAAGGTTCAGGGAGAGGAGCCCATTTGTCATATCAAAAGGATATTTGGTTACCCTTACCCACTTTCCATCTAACCTAAGACATGAAATTATCCCAAATTTTGCAAATACTACTCCATTTGTAAGAAGAAGAACTTGGTTTATAGACCATTGGAATAGTAGTTTTGTTGTGTTTATATTTATCTTAAAGAATCTGAACCCAGAGACGTTTAGGTTGAGTGATGAGACCCCAATATAATTTCATGATGTAGGCAATATTTTGATTCTTAAGATTTTTGAGTCCAAGTCACCCATTGGATTTATCCTTAGTAACACAATCCCAAGAAAGAAGAAAAGGCTTCTTGGTTCTATCAGAAGAGTTCTAAAGAAAATTCCTCGAGCATCTTTCTAGTTCAGCCAGAATATTATTAGGGATGAGCATAATCTACATGGCATAGCTAGGAAGAGCAGAGAGGAGAGAATTGATGAGGACCGATTTACCAGCAATGTTAAGAAAATAACTTCTCCAACTGGTAAGACGGGACGCAGCTTTATCAAGTAAAGGAGCAAAGGTGAATTTCGTAACTTTCTCATGAAACAGAGGTATTCCCAAGTATTTTTCAAGATTTCCAATAAGAGGAATGCCCAAAACATCACTAATCTGAGTAGCCATATTAATGTTGACATTTCTAGAATAGAAAAGTTACATTTGGAGATATTAATTTTCTACCCAGAAGCATTACACAATTTAGAGAGACAATTCTAGGTAATTGAAGCCTGAGTAAGAGACATCTCTACAAAAAGTAAAAGATCATCAGCAAAGAATAAATGGGAGATGGGAGGCCCAGTAGGTGTAAGTTTAATTCAAATTTTCATTATTCCCTATCATGCTTCCTTTATTTTTATTTGTTAGAAAAACTTTCACTTTTGATTTATTTTTTTATAAGCAAAATCACGTATTTCAATAAGTATTTATTATAGATTTTCTAAATTATCATTCATAATTTATAATAACGAGAAATAATTAAGACATGTTTATATTGATTAACACATGATATTTTAGTCCAATTTCTTTATTTTCAAATATAATTAGTATAGTTAACTGACTTTCTTAAACTGTATAATACATCTTTTGTCCCAAATTATAAGATATTTTTAGATAAAATCTCACACATCAATAAACTTCATTAAATACACTTAACAACCATAACTTTTCAAAATAAAAATATAAAATTTTAAAAATTCTCATAATTTAATATTCCCTCTGTTCCAAATTATAAGACACTTTAAGAAAAATTCTCACATATCAATAAACCTTATTAAATACACTTAACAACCTTATCTTTTCAAAATAAAAATATAAAATTTTAAAAATACTCATTGTTTAATATATTGAGAAGAGAAAGGACAAAAATTAATTATAGAAAGAGAAAGGATAATATTAAAATTGGTACATTTAATGAAACTTTAATTTACTCAAAGTATCTTATATTTTGAGACAGAGAAACTCCTTCAAAAGTGTCCTATAATTTGGAATGGAGAGAGCATATCGAAAAGAAAATGGACGAAAATTAATTATGAACAAAAAGGATAATATTAAAATTAATGCATTTAATGAAACCTGAATTTATCCAAAGTGTTTTATATTTTAAAATGGAGAAATTCTTTAAAAAATGCTTTATAATTTGGGACAAAGGGAATACAATTTTTTCTCTTATACAAATGGAGGGAGTAATTAATGAGTTTAGATAAGAATACCATTAAAAAAATATTTAATACTTATCAAATTCTATGCATGAAAGTTTAAAAAAATATTTCTAAAATATTCATGCACCCTATAATAGGAACAATATAGGGAGGATAAGATAGAGAATTAGAGATACTCCCTCCGCCATAAATTATGAGATACTTTTAGATAAAATTTTACATACTAATAAATCTCATTAAATATACTTAACAACCTTATCTTTTTAAAATAAAAAAATATAAACTTTTAAAAATACCCATCATTTAATATATAAAAAAGAAAAGAGACAGAAATTAATTATAGAGAGAGGAAGGGTAATATTAAAATTGGTGTATTTAATAAAATTTTAATCTACTCAAAGTATCTTATATTTTAAGACAGAAAAACTCTTTCAAAAGTGTTTTATAATTTGAGATAGAGGTAGTACTTCTATAATCTCATTTATACGATGAAAAGAGGAAAAAAAATTAATTCTATTCATAGGACATTTATCAATTTTTTATATTTTTCTTTACATTTTTACTCTTATTAAATTTTTGAATAAAAATACCAGTAATATTATTTAAAAATATTTACTAGAAGTAAATGTAAAAACTTATTAAATTTTAAGATAAAATTAATAAAACTTTAGATTTTTCATGATTTTGTATAACTATATTAGAAATGGTTTATAAATAAAATAAGAGGGAGTGTTCCAAGACACTGGGGTGACATCATTTTCCAAATCTAAATTAGTCGGGTCTAAATCTCTATGCCTTATATTAAAATTAAATATAAACGGTTAAAAATCTTTAATCTAACATGAGAAAATGAGAGAAATGGAAAGTAATATAAAAGAAGACACGCCACTACCTGTGAAGACCCCACCCGTAATTTATTCCAAACCCACCCACTCGGTTTTCTGCCCTTCTCTCTCTTCTTATCTATGAAAAACCATTAATCTCGAGCTCTCGACCGACCTACCCAAACTAAAATTCGCTGCAGACTAAGAGTATATAGTCACATATTATTCTACAGATGATAGGCAAGATTCAAGCTGCTTCGTCCAGAGGCGATAGGAAAATTATCGAGAGGGACCGAAGAACCCAAATGAGGGCTCTCTACTCCAAGCTCAACTCGCTCCTCCCTCATCAATCCTCCACGGTACTTTCTTTGATTTCAGTCAATCACATCCTCACTAATTTCATTTTCAGTCAATCACATCACGTTTAAATCTTGTGGTGCAGGAGCTGGTTTCGCAGTCGGATCAACTAGAAGAGGCTGCGAACTACATAAAGAAGATTCAGATAAAGTTGGAGAAGCTGAATGAGAAAAAACTTAGCCTTATGGGAATCGAAAATGAACTGTCAAATACTTGCAACAGAGGAACGATCATTTTGGAGTCCAAATCACCCAAAGTTGAGATTCACCAAATGGGTTCAGCATTGGAGGTTTCTGTGATTACTGGGTTGGATTGCCAGTTCATTTTCAACGAGTTCATTAGCATTCTTCACGAAGAAGAAGCCGATGTTGTTCATGCCAGTTATTCAGTCGTTCATGATGCTGTTTTTCATACCATACACAGTCAGGTGATGAGCAATAAACTCATTTATTCTTCCTTGTAGATTCAGATTTCAGCTTAAAACCTTAAAATTAGTGAGAGGATATGAGTTAGTGTTGGCTAAATTTAACTAATAGAGAGAACTAAGAGGCCAACCAATAATGTAAGATTTCTCTCCTCTCTGTTGATTAGGAGGATTTAGCCAGGCCTGCGCATCTAATTTAGGGATGATAAAACTGATGGATCTGGTTCTTGCATTGAATGTTGTTCAGATAGGAGATGGTGGTAACAGAGCTGGGAGGATATCGGAGAGATTAAAGAGGTTTGCGTATGGTTCTGGTGCATTTTGAAGAAAACGGCAATGGCAGCACTGATTTGTGGAAATCTGATGAATTTCAATGTGAAGTAACCAGTTTCCGAGTTTGCAATGAAATAAGTTCATACTTCGCATATATATGTATATATGAACTCATCATTTGATCTTTGTCATCTACAAACGGCCAGCAAAATTTCCACCTGATCTCTGCTGTTGCGTGTGACTGATCAGTGTGTGTATCGTACTTTTCACCGTTGTTCTGATAGGGTTGCTTGTTGTTATACTTTCTGCTCTAAAGTCTATGAATTGTGTTTCAGACAGTATTAATTTAAAAAAATTGTGTCTACTTTTTAAATGATGCCATGAATAATTTGAAAAATAGAGAAATCTTTGGGATTGTTTCCAAGTCGAGCTGGCTTTCCGCCCAGAGCGTCCGCTAGTTCGTTGAAAACAACTCGTAATTGCATCTATTGAGGCGTACGTTCACATGTACATACAATTTAAGCAATTAAATTACCTTAACATAAGCATAAATTTGCTTAATGATCAAGAGAGACTACTGTGAAAACTTGAATCGCTCATTAAATCAGCATCAGTTTTGCTTAATATGGGATGCATTCACGTGTCTGCCTTATGTATGTCACTTGGGAAAAAGGAATAAGAGAAAAGAAACTGCAAAGCAAAGGGATGGGAGGAATGAAACTTAGGGCCAGTTTGTTTAATTTTTTTTTAATTGCTGAGTGTTATTTTCTTAAATGAGATAATTCTGTTTAAAATAGGACCAAACATTAAATGTGGACACCTTGACACTTAGATTGGTGAGAGAAATTAAGCCAGTCGTTAAAGTTTCGTAGAAAAAAAATATATTTTTCACTTTTTTTACAAGCTGTATATTTTATATACTCCCAGCAAATCATCATATAAGTTATTTTAAACTATTTATATTTTAAAAAAAGTATATTAAAATCTTAACTTTTTAAAGAAATTTATATTTTTTTCAATCATAACCTTAAATGTAATAAATATAATATCCGACTTATTCAAAATATCTTCATTAATTAGTCAACAATGTAATGGTGTAATTGGAAAAAAATACATATATAAAACATACTTGATATTCTATATTTACAATCAAATAAAACTTTTAAAAAAAATATCTCATATTGTGATACAAAATAACTTATTAAAATAAGTTTTTCCAACACATATCTTTTATGTTTAATAAACTTAAATTCTCTCTAGAATTTTGTGGTGTTTACAACAACTTTGTCATATCTAGCTTAACTAGAATCACTTTTTTAATATCAAACCGACTCGTCTTTAATATGACAAACAAGTTAACAAGATGCTTATTACCTGTGTATTTAATTTTTACAAAACTATATATTTTCGATTTGCTGAATTAATTGCTTCATTTTCATCTTCCTTTGATGTAACTGTATAAAAAAAAAAAAAAACTCAAGAAGTTGTAATGTATTAACTCTAAAACAACATTCCTCCATGTACATGAAAATTTGATACATCAATGTTTGTAATTGTACTTCTAGCAAAACACAGAATATTTTGAGCTGGAAGATTTTTTTTTTTTTTTGACATTGCTGATTTTAACCAAACAAATCACGTGTAAAATGATATTGAAGACGTGCATGACGCGGCGTTCATGACGTCAGCTCATTTTTGTCGCATCTATTTGTCAAATTTCCCCACTACAGGACCCAAAAACGTGTAATATATATATGATATATCTATCGTGTAAAGAATAAGAAAATATATATATATATATATATATCTCTCTCTCTCTCTATCTCTCTCTCTCTCTCTCTCTCTCTCTCTCTCTCTCTCTCTCTCTCTCTCTCTCTCTCTCTCTCTCTGCGTGTGTATGCCTATTCTTCTCAAACACAAAATCATGTGTACAAGAACATATACAAAATCAATAGCGATGGATTCCAACATAAAGAATTAGTTCCTCACAACATAGCAAATTAATTAAATTTTTGCTTAGAAAAATACTTATATTTAATACCTGACTGTATCTCAAACATAATCATGATCTTCAATAAGAGGGTAAGTATGAGTAATAAAAGAAATATTAAAAAAAAACCATATTACTTTACTAATAATTGTCATTTGTTGATATCATTTTCTTATTATTTTTCTTAGCTTTTGACACTTTTTAGGACTATTTTGTGCATATTAGAAGCATTTTAGATCATAAGGTTCAAGCGTACTTTCCAGAACTTTTGGAGCAAAGTTCTAATTCTAAAAGTTTAGGGGCAAAATGGTAATTTGAAAAAATTATCATTTAATAATTTTAAATTTTTCATTAATCTCATGAGTTTAATTTGAGTTAATTTAACTTAGATTGTAGTTATTCACTAAAATAAAATTTAAAGTACACATTTTTTATATTTTCATTGTACTTTCTATAAACTTTGAAAAGTGTGTTATGCTTAGTTTTTGTAATCAAGAACTTTTAAAAAACTTCTCACAACTAAATTCATTTCATTATCTTCCATTTAGTCATTTTAATTTACTTCACCACATTTTTCATGGTTCACACCTAAGTTGAATAAATTCATAAGATGTGAAATTATTTGTGCACAACTTGCTATTTAATGAATTCATTATGTGTTTTAAGCCTTGGGAAGCTATTAGATGATTATGACAGCCCATTTGCAGGGAATTAAGCCCTTGGATAAGTTAATTGGATGATCAAAATGTTACAAGTCATTGATGAAATCTCAATAAAACCTAAAGATAGTCATAACAATTACATTTTTCAATTTCAGTTCCATATTTTATTATCTTTGTTATGCATTTTTTCATTATCTCCATCATATTATTTTCAAATTTTCCCATCCATTTTCATATTATTAGTGTCTTTCATTTTCATTTATTATTATTTAAATAATTAATTCCTAAAATTCATGGCCATACATGAAATATCATGTGAAAGAACCGTTAGATGCACAAAAAAGCTCACATCATTTTAGGGAACTTAGTGGGCATAATTCTTAGCCATTAGTTTGATCTTAATGAGCCTCAAACATTCCAAAACAAAGGGAATTTCATTCTCCACGTATCATTACACCATTTGGCCAAAAACTTTACTCCTCTTTTTCCTCTATTCATCTTCATCTTTTTCTCTCAAGAACATCCCTGAATCCTAAACTAGCTTCCACCATTTCTCCATCTTAAAGCCCTCATTTTCAAAATCCAAACCCTCCAGATAAACCCCTACACAATCCACATCATAACCCTCAAAACAAAACAACCATTCCCTTCCATTCTCAAGCTTTCTTTCATGATGGTTTTGTTTGAATGTCTTCAAGGAAAGACTATGGGGATGCTAATAAGGAGGGGCTAGACTTGTCTTCTTTTCCTAAGAAGTATGGATGAACTCTCTTTAAGCTCTTAGATTTTGAGAGTTTTTTAATCTTTGCCTCTTGTTAAATTCCTTGCAATTTTACTATGACATTGTAATAATAATGGTCGTTGGACTAACTTTGTAATGCTTGGTTGAGTGCCATATATGAGGTTATTATGTTGTTTACTTGCCAGTTGAAGTGTTGTGTGCAATTTCAAATTTAGGAAAGTCCAAATTTAATTTTATTCAATTTATTGTTGCATTGAATTTCTAGCTATCCCTAGTGAGCATACTTAGGGTTGGCTAATCATTTTTCTTAATCAATTGAGGTCTCATTTGGTTAAAGAAAGGGCTGAAATTGGTGATTAACAACATAACCAATGGGTCATTTTTTAACACAATTAATTCTAATAATTAAGGGTCCTAGTTAATTTAAGGAACCTAAAAGTACTAAATTCCTCATGGCACTAGAATGTCTTTAAAACTAATTAGAGATAACAAGGAATTATTTAGATAGAGCAAGGATAAGAGAGGGAATTCATTTGCCTAGAAAGACCATTGATTTGCATTTTAATGACAAACCAACCTATTTTCAAAAAATACCAAAAAATTTAGTTTACATTTAATTCTTGTTTGCTAAATTTCAAATCAATCAAACCCAATTAAATTGTTATTGGTTTTGATAGATTTAAACAACTTAGGGTTTAATTTTTAATCAATTTCATGTGAGAGTCGACATAGGTTGCACCCTATACTCATTAGGATGTTTTTTAGTTTAATTTGAGTCATTAAGTGGCTAATGAACATCATTTACAAATACTCATAATACATGTTTTCCTAATTAGCTTGTTCTTTATGAAGAGCCCAAAATATTCAATTTTTTCATAAAACTTAAGCAATATAGAAAAGTACATATTCACTATGGTATAGAAATCTAGTTCAACTTGTCTGATTAAACCAGTAAACTATTAAATCAGTATCTTGACTAGTTTTAAAATGATTTGTTTATAACTAATTTGATAATGATAATTTTGGTCATTAACCTTTGAACCAGAATCTTGATCGATTCAATAATCAGTTTGATTTTTAATACATTAGTATTCCTCGAGATTTATATTGTATTATAATATTACACATTAAAAAGAGCACGCACATGCATCTGATGCAATAAGATCTACTCTGTATGCGTAACAACAATATTATTAAATGCATCCAATGTATAGAACTAAATACCTTTTTTTGTACTTGTTTGGGCTAAATATGAAATGTCGCTCAAATAAGTGACAAGGCTAGTTAGGTTGAGTAATTGAAGTTTCAGGCCCAATATAAACAGGCCGATCTTAAGGCTCAATAAAGGCCACAATAAGTAAACATGCCGAAATCCGGTCAGTTGCAAATATTATACCGTTGGCATGAAAACACGATCTTAAGTAATGCTGAAATCTACGCCTAAGTATCTTGATGAAGCAAGTTTGTTACCAAAATGAAGATCATGGAATAAAGACTATGCCATGAGTTTTGCGAGATCCCTAATTCTTCAGCAAAATGTGCTAAGTTCTAAGGAAGAGGCTACCTCTACTCTGACATTATAAATAGAAGAAGAAAATACAGAAGAAACTAGTCAACACTCAATCAAAGACTCACAATTTTACATTCATTAGCCCTTTTTTAGTTTTCAATTTCAGGTCTGTAATCTTTTACATTTCAATAATAATCAAACACCTGTTCTATCAAAACCTTCTATCCTTTTAGATCTGAGTAAACTATAGTAAGGAAGCTCGGGACCCTTTTATTATCAATTGAGACTCAGCATCTTTGGCACACTTGGTATTTGTTGTTCACCACGAATAATTTTTGGCACATTTAGTGGGAATTGCGTAACAAAGATGGCAAGGACGCAA